CGAGAGCGCCGGCGGCTGCCGCGTCTGCCGCGTCTGCGCCTGCGCAGAAAAGGGTGGGTGGGAGGAGCTAATATAGAGGCGCAAGGGCTGGTATGGGCGGGGCCCGACTGGCCCTTAGTAGTTTGGGAGCTGGGTGGGATTGTTGCTGAGAGCGGAGTTCCGGGAATGTGAGGAGGGTCTTGAGCCTCTGATGTGGGTGGGGCCTGTTTGTGGAGGCGTGGTCGGAGGGTTGCGGTCACCCGGGCTTGGGGGAATCTCCTGGGTGGAACCTGGGGGGAGGCTGTCAGCTGGACTGAGGGTGGGGCCGAGTTTCTTAGTGGCTGCTGGTCTGGTCCAGCCTAAGGTTTTCCCTGCTGGTTTTTTTGTTTGTTTGTTTGGTTTGGTTTTTTTAAAATAGGGTCTCACTATGTAGTTGAGACTGACCTGGAACTCACTATGTAGTCCAGGCTGGTCTCGAACTCACAGTGATCCTCCTGCCTCAGCCTCCCAAGTGCTGGGATTACAATTTTTGCCACCACGCCCGGCCTGGGTTATTTTGTTTGTTTGTTTTGTTTTGTTTTTAATCTTTATTAAATTTATTGGTACAATTTAGGTATACAACACAGTTACATTCATCATTGGGATTTTGTACCTTTTCAAGACTTAGCTTGCTTCTTACTTTTCCCCACTCCCCAGCCCTCCCTTCACCCCCTCCACCCTTCCCTGTTTACAAAAGTTTCCATGTTTTTCCTTTTTACATATTTTTTCTTTTCCCTTTTTACCTTTCCTCTACCCCTTCCACTTCCTCTGTTTTAGAAATTTTCTTCCTATTACACAATATAAGTATACATTTCGATCCTTATTTATTTGGTTTTTCACACCAAAGAAACTATTCAGTATTTACATATGAGTGTCTTACTAATTTCACTTGAGTATGGCCTCAATGTGCATCCACTTAGCAATAAATATCTCTACTTTCTTGTTCTTTATGGCTGAGTAGTACTCCATTTTATTAAAAGAAACACATACACACACATCTTTATCCAGTCTGTAGTTGATGAGCAATTGGGCTATCTTCAAATTTTAGCCATTACAAACTGTGCTGCTATAAACATGGGTGAGCATATATCACTGCGGTATGATTCTTTTAATTCTTTTGGGAAGATATCTAGCAGAGAAATAGCTGTTTGAGGTATCTTCATATTGATTTCCACAGTGGTTGCACCAGTCTGCACTCCCACCAACAATGGAGAAGAGTTCCTATCTCCCCACAGCCCCACCAGCATTTGTTATTGGTTGATTTCTTGACAACAGCCATTCTTTCTGAGGTGAGATGGAATCTTAGTGTTGTTTTCATCTGCATCTCTCAAATGACCAATAATGTTGAACATTTTTTCCTTGTTTATTTGCTGCTTTTACACACACACACACACACACACACACACACACACAAACACACACAAACCTCGCCAAGTGTCTGTTCATTTCAGGGCTGGGGATTTAGCTCAGTGGTGCTGCCCCCTCCTCAAAAGTGCAAGCACCTGAATTTGACCCTGGTCCCAAAAACAAAAAACCCTTAAGGGAATAAACATCAGATGCCCATTTTTGAATTGGATCTTTATATTTGGGGATCTGATTTTGTTTAGGTTCTTAATATATTCTAGATAGTAGACCTTTGTCTGAGGAACAGCTGTTGTAATATATGTATTGACTCATCATTGTCATGTCATTTTCCTGTTGTTGGTTCTTTTTTATTTTTCTCCCTCTCCCTTTAAATTCTTTCCTATTGGATTTGCTCTGTTGGGCCTCATGAAGTTGTGACCTTCATTGCCTTTTTCTAGGATATTTTAAAAAATTGTTTGGAGTGCACTTTCGGGTGCCCCTTACCAATTAGGCCACTCACGCACCGAGAGGTCCAGCAGGAGATCTTTAAGGAGGCGAGAGGCAGGAAGGCAGAAAGGCAGAGAGAGAGAGAGAGAGAGAGAGAGAGAGAGAGAGAGAGAGAG